GGATCCCTTGGAAAGCTGCTGCACCTTTGGATTCTCACCCTGGATCCATTGGATTCTCACCCTGGATCCCTTGGATTCTCTCCCTGGATCTCTTGGATTCTCATCCTGGATTCTTGGATTCTCACCCTGGATCCCTTGGAAAAGCTGCTGAACCTTTGGATTCTCTCCCCAGTTGAGCAGGAGAAGCTCCTGGGACTCCTGGTTTTAACTTTCCCATCAGGAATTGCACATTCCCGCCCCGTGCTGACCCGAATCTCTTTTTTCCAGAGCCAAAATCCAGGGAAATTCCTGCCCCCCCCCCCTGCCCTCCCAGCACAGGGATCCCTCACCTGCAGCAGCTTCTCCTCCCATTCCTGCTGGGAAAGGGACTTCTCCGTGTTCTCTAGGAGAAAGAACAGTTGGATACTGGTTACACTGGTCAGCCAGAGGCTGGAAAAGCTGGGAATGTTCACCCAGAGAAGGGAAGGATCCAGGGAGACCTTGGAGCACATTCCAGGGCCTGAAGGGGCTCCAGGAGAGCTGGAGAGGGACTGGGGACAAGGGATGGAGGGACAGCACACAGGGAATGGCTTCCCAGGGTTAGGTGGGATATTGGGAAGGGATTCCTGGCTGGGAGGGTGGGGAGGGGCTGGGATGGAATTCCCAGAGAAGCTGTGGCTGCCCCTGGATCCCTGGGAGTGTCCAAGGCCAGGCTGGAGCACCCTGGGATGGTGGGAGGTGTCCCAGCCCATGGCAGGGGTGGGAATGGATGTCACTCCTGCAATCCCACCCCAATTCCTGCAATCCCACCCCAATTCCTGCAATCCCACCCCAATTCCTGCAATCCCACCCCAATTCCTGCAATCCCACCCCAAACTCCTGCAATCCCACCCCAATTCTTGCAATCCCACCCCAAACTCCTGCAATCCCACCCCAATTCCTGCAGCTCAGCCAATGGGATTTAAGGAAGGAGGAGGGAATCAAGGAATAGCCCTCTGGAAATTTGGGATGCTTGAATCAGGGTTTAGGATTCCAGACCTGGGAATCCTTTTCCACCCTCTGAGCTCACACTTGGCCCTTCCTTGGGATGTTCCTGGTCACGGGACACAGGGAATGGCTTCCCAGGGTTAGATGGGATATTGGGAAGGAATTCCTGGCTGGGAGGGTGGGGAGGGGCTGGGATGGAATTCCCAGAGGAGCTGTGGCTGCTCCATCCCTGGGAGTGTCCAAGGTCAGGTTGGAGCACCCTGGGATGGTGGGAGGGGGTGGGAATGGATGATCCTGGAGTCATGGAATGGGGTTGGAAGGGACCTGAACCATCACCAAGTTCCTCCCTGACCTGGAAGGTCCCTCCCATCCCAACCCATCCCAGGGTGATTCCAGTTTCCATCCATTCCACAGCAGGGACAAACCAATCCTCAAATTCTCCTTGTCAAACACCTGATCCATCAGGACTGACCCCCCTGGTTGGAATTAGTGGCACCAGGGTGATTAAATTCCCAATTAAAACAGGATTCTGGGATTCT